TTTGTGGGTTATTTTGTGTTTCAAAAATTGTCGCTCCGTCTCTTCGCCTATTTATTTTTTTTTGTGGGTTATTTTGTGATTTGTTCATCAATCGCTCCGTCTCTTCGCCTATTTATTTTTTTTTTTGTTAAGTGGTACGTTTATATGATTTTTTGTGCTTTTATTTCTTATATTTTATCTCGGTTGACTTGAATGTGCTTAGAGATGAAGGGTCCATGTCATTTTATAATGGTTTGGGATCTTTTCTTTTTGGACCTTCTTGCAGACTTCTACATTTACAGCCCCAGACAGTTATTTAGTTGCTATTTTTTTTTTACTAAAAACTGATTTAAAATATTTAAGCCTGATGGGCTAATGTGAGTATGAGATTTTGTTAGGAAAGCATCGTAGTGGTTGTGTTAATTAGCGTGCAAGCTGCATTATCCTCAACCAGAAATTAAGTTTCAAAAGTTAAAATTAATAATTAAACAAATGTCTTACCTTCTCATCAGACTCACTGAACATCAGTTTCCATATTTTACAAACTGATTTACTTATTTCATGCATAGAATAATGGAGTGACTAATATTTGTTTCCTTGAATCAAATGCCTTGTGTTAAGTAAATTACCTCTACAAGCGTTTTATTTATTTAGAGATCTTTGCAATAACTAATGTCGATTGGAATGTAAGTATTGGTAAGACTAATAGCCATTGATCCTTTTATTTCTAGTACCATTTAGGATAACATTGTACGTGGATTATGTTATGCCTTTGTAAGTTGTTATATGTTGGATGTCACCGTGGAAACGTAAGGTGTTGGCCTTCTTTCAGTAACTGTTTTGATGATAAAGCTCGAAACAGTGTTTTTTTATTTCAGGAGGATCCAATGCTTTTGGTTCCTCAGAATGGGAATCACATGGTTTCTTTAATGTACCAAATGAACAATGTATAATAAGAACTGTAAATAAATTTTATCTGTGTGGGTATCTATTGCAGGTAAGGTTACATGGATACGGACGTGCCATCATTTTTGGCGATCATATCCAGCCCCGAGGATGACTGGCGTGAATGGCTGGTACTTTCATTTATTTTTCTTTTTTCAAAATTTGTTCTTATTTGTATTTTGTTGTGTTATATTAGAGGTTTTTAATGTGCAATTGTTATATGCGTATAATAAATTATTATTAACCTTTGTTGTAGCCGTTGCCGACTGAAATATACAAAGAGTACGATGGGTTGCTACCACGTGCTTGCCGGTTGACCACAATCGATGGCGAGGAATACGAAGCAACAATGGGATTAAAAAATGGGCAATTAAGTCTAATTGAAGGATGAGAAAACTTTATGGATTCAGAGTCTATTGAGTACGGTTTCCATTTGGAGTTCTATCGCCATAGTCTGTTCGATTTTGAAATCGAAATTATGGATGAGAATGGATGCGAAAGAGAGCCAATAGGTTCATTTACTCTGGACATGAAGAGAACACATGTGGAGCATGCAAGGCTGGTAATTCATATAACCTTGTTACTCTCTTTGTATACACCTTAAGAGTTTTTCGATGCATTTCAGCCTTTTATTTATTTTTTTTTATTTCCATTAACCAATAGTGACAACGAATGCAGGGTAGCTATTTATGAATTTCCTTTCTTTTAGTTCATCCCTATGCAGTTTTGGTGCGACCATATTGAAGGAGATTACGCCGATACCAGTGTAGCATATCTTTTCATTGGGAAGCGCAAGTATGAATTGGAGGTTGTCGAGGGGCACGGGAAGAAGTTGCTTCAAAGAGGCGAAGCACGTAGTTTCATGGATGACAATGAAATTGTGGAAAATTGTTCGTACAAGTTTTGCTTGGTTCCTGGTGAATTAATAAGATTCAAGGTGTACGCTTGGTTCCTGGTGGATTAATAAGAATCAAGGTGTACTTAAGTAGTTTCACGATTACAACGTAGCAATCTTTTCTGGACGTATTGTTTTGCTACAGGTCATGTTTGATTTGTGTTCTTAGACATGTACTTGGGTTGACTATATCAATCTTTTGTGGACGTATTGTTTTGCTACTTGTATGTTCATGTTTGTTTTTTGTTCTTAGACATGTATTTGGGTTGACTATATCGTAGTTGAGTACATTGCACTTTTGGTGGTTATTTTATGATTATGATTATTATTTCATATAAAACTGTTGGTTGGTGATAAAAATTTAAAAGAATTTATGGTTCCATTAAAATGTGAAAAAATTATGAAGCGTGTTTTAGGCAACGCAAACATATCATAAAAAAAACCACATATAAGCAAAAAAAAAAAAAGAAATTTACCTAATGCTAGCTTGAAAAGGCCTGGTGCAGAGTGTGAAGCCATGTCTATGGCTCGACGTGACCACGGTCCTGAAGATTTATAAAAATTAGTTCTACACTTTAAGTAGGGTTCACAAAAGGAAAATTGGACCCACGAACTCTTCGTTCGATTCCAGGGGTGAATGTTTGAAGAAAAATTAACAACACATTTAGAAGTTAAAAGATGCTGCAAATAACATACCTTTGTTTGCAGGGGTGACGAAGAGGGTGTTATGTTGTTGAAGCACGCCATAAAAAATGTGCTTTTGTAATATTTCGCCAGACCCGTTTTAGGACATTTTTTAGTGTTGTTTATAGTCATTATAGGTTGATACAAAAACTGTATGTATTTTTTTTTCTCATTAAAATTTATCAGAAATTATTGTTTGTGTTGAATTGATTAATATTTAGGTAATGTGTTTTAGTTAATCAGAACATATAAACATTATTTCATTATTTTGTAATCTTGATTTGCATAAGTAACATTTTTTTGTGGTGAAGATATGACATTTAGTGACTAATAGCCATTTGTATTTTTTTTAGCAACAATATATCAAAAGTAT